TCTTGCCCACGAATAGACTCTTAAGATTAACCAAATTCTCTAAGTTCTCGATCACACGAATCCTATTTGATCCCAACTCCAAGAGTTCCAGATTTGCTAATTGAGATAAATTCTCGATTTTGGAGATCTTATTATTAATTAAAAACAATTTCTTCAGATTCACTAAATTCTCCAAATTCTCTATTTTGCGGATCCGATTGAACGACAGATCCAGAACTCTGTCACAAAAAATAAACACAAAAACTAACCATTAGTTCATACAATCGATAGATAATCGGAATCTCAAGAACTGACTCCAAGTTGACCAAAGCGTCCAAATTCTCGATTCTTGTGATCTGATTGTCATATAACTCGAGTTCTCGGAGACCAAGCAATTGATTGATCCCTTCGATGGTCTTAATCGTGTTATTCCTGAGACCCAAACACTCGGTTTTGGTCAATATACTCAATACGGCCATCGATGACACTCTCGAGTGATTCAACTCAATCTCAAGCGCTTCCAAGTCCAGTGACACTTCCACATCATCACTGCTCTCATCTGTAATCATATCAACCATTCAACTGATCACTCATTCATTTCAATGACAATCGTTTTGACAGTACTTTGAGTGCCATTTGTGTTCAATTGGTTGGTGTCAGCAATTGAGTCATTTTCAGAGACAATGTCTCCGGCAGTCCCTAAAAGACATGCAATGGTAAGTCATGTCATCTCTTAACTGGTCACATAGTGACCAAATCATACCGTTGTCTCCCATGGTATCGGTGTTCAGACAATACACTTGAGTTTAATCACAATTAAAGCAATTGTTGTGTGAATTGAATGCAAAGTATTGTTTATTTTGATATTGAAAGCAATCATTTGTCCATAAAATATGTGGTAATGAATTGGCGCTCAATTGTCACCAAATTGTGTCCAACCTTTCATGTGATTGCCATTCAATCCACCATTAATTGAAGACATGGATTTGCATTCAAATGCATTGATCTTCACTTGTAATCCATTCAATAAAACGTTTGATTCAATGGTTTTTGTCAATAATTAGTTTGCCAAAAGTGAACGTATTTCTTGTGGCCTATCATGTGATCACTACAAGTATCTCATCACTTGACTCTCTGTTGGTCATCACTTTGACATCGATTTGAATCGAAAGTGTGGTTAATATTATCATTAAGTGATAGTGAGGTACAGATCAAAGAGGTGTCGGACATGTCGAGGGGCACCACAGAGACCAATCAGCTGAAGAGCAATCTGGAGGACCAGTTGGACCGACTCGTCGCACAGTTGGCTGATCTCGAAGAATGCAAGTAATGGACACTTCACTCATTTGTCTGTTCATACAGTCATGTCTTGGATTAGCATTTATGCCACATTTATATCTATTGAAATGTTATTAAAATATTACCTAGGTGATAATACTATAGCACACATGCATCGACTAAATCACAAAACATGATAGACCCTGATTAGAACTGTTAACTTTGTATGCAGTTAACGTAATCACAATAATAAGTAACTACATTCAAATTAAGATTAGTATTCAATATTAGTTTTAATATTATAAGGTTAATAGTTTTTGTTGTTAATACTGTAATTGTATCCAACTCTGTGCACCAATATTTGACATGCACCTTGGTACAGTACTTACAGGTGCTTGATTTGATTGTATAGATTAGGAAATAACTGCGCGTAGAACTATGGCCATGCTCATAACTTACCTTGTTTTTGAAATTAGATTAAGAAAATTATAAAAAACTAACTTGCAAGTTTACATTTACTGATGACTGATACAATTTATTACGGTATTTAGCTGTCAACTATTAATACCTGTATATTCTCTAAATTGTTTGAAATGGTGTATGAATTTAATGTTTAGTTAGTTAGTCAAAAATTTACCAAAAGATTTACCAAGAATTAGATTTAATAAACATATAATATGACCTGGATAACTGACATATCATATGAAATAGGGCTGACTTAGACTCAGATGAATATGAAGAGACCAAAAGGGAAACATTGGAACAATTGGAAGAATTTAGTCAATCATTATCTGCCATGAAATCCGGGAA